TAATAATAATAATAATAATAATAATAATAATAATAATAATAATAATAATAATTGGGTTCGTCTGATACGTAAAATACATAAATCAAATTAACTTTTCACAATTATTCACAACTTGTTTTTAGTCAGGTACGCGCACCATCATGCACGCGCGTGCTTTGTTTTTCTTTTTTGCATGGCTGATGTTTCTTGAAGTCAGCTGTGAATAAAACACACACACACACACACACACACACACACACACACACGCACACCCACACCCGCACACGGATTGGCTGTTCTTCTGGTCTTCGGGTGGATCCATTGATCGATCTCTTAATCTGCAATAGTTACATGCATGTATCGATTTACAAACACTGTTTATCTGAAAATATACCGGCACAAATAATTGATGGGAGTACACCCATGGCGCGCATAAATATGCATCAAAACTTGAAGAGTGGGGGGTGGGGGGGAGGGAAGGCCGGGGTGGCAAACACCTTAAAAAAAGAGACAGAAAAATAAATAATAAATAAATAAAAAACACGTGAAACCTGCGAAATCAAATAAAGATTATTCCAAATATGTTTTTAAAGCTTGACTGCGAAGTGTTATCGATGTGCCCACTTCTCAAACAAACTCCCATGCGAGTCTGGATACCAACACATGCACACGCTCAGCAAAAATAAATAAATAAATAAATAAAAATAAAAAAATCATAGGCTTCACTTCTGCTGGGAGTAAACTTCAGCCTCGTCCTTTGCAAAGGACTCACATTGACACATAATCACAGAAAGAAAACCTCTTCTGGCAGCTCGATGCATCATCGCTGTTGTTTTTTGAGAAATCTGAGAGTCGAAACTTGGAGGGGGGAAAAAAAGTGCTGCAGACATTCTGAAAAACTCATCTTGTTCGAGACAGGCAGTTGAACTTGAATCCGACTCTAATTTTGAATCACAAAAAAAAAAAAAATATGATGAATAAGTAATCATAAGCTAATTAATTAAATTAGTACAGGCTAAAGCACAACACCGGGCCTCATGAATATCCAAAACTCTCCCATAAATACTCTCGGCGAGCCAAATGGGCAGCGCTCATTAGCGGGAGAGAGAGGGAGTGAGAGATGTGCACCGGCTACGAGGGTGTCGTGCAGCTCGCCGCGTGAATGCCTGTTTAATTGACTGATTGATACGGCCGCGTGGAGGTGAGAGCGAGACGCCTTAACAAATAGAGACATTTAAAGGCTAATCCGGGCCAACGCAGACAGCTGAACGTGTGGAGCCGAGACTTTCCCCACCTGCTTACAGGCTTTAAAGAGCAAAATCCCCGTGGCGAGCGCGCGCAAAAACTGTTTCCAATTCTTCCAAAAACAAAACAACTGCAACCAAAAATGTCATGCACGGTTCAACTTTTTTTTTTTTTTTTTTTTTGGTCCCTGCAAGCAAGCGTTGCATCCGCAAAACAGCATCCATGCAAGCAAGAGAAAGTTATATTCTAGCGAAAATAAGCGAAATAATTTCATCACTGAAGACTTTTGAGCAAACCCACTAACGCGCAGACAACTTTTCTTTCTTTTTTTTTTATCAGTCAAAAACAGATGTGAATCAGTCAACAAAATGAAATCAACATCATCAGTATTATGAACAAAACATACCTTCAGATTTTGTTTGTTTGTTTTTGGGGTTTTTTGGTTGTTTTTTTAGGAAGTGATCTTCTCACCGGCTGAAGCGCACACAGTCAATCCAAGCGCATCCACTCTGACGGCACACCGAGACAGCGACCGGAGAGGCAGCTCAACTACCAACCTGAACCCGGGGAGGCGAGCAGAAGGAGGGGGAGGAGGAGGGAGAACAGGAGGTGTGCATCTCTCTCTCCCCCTTTCTCTCTCTCCCTCTCTCTCTCTCTCTCTACCCGTGTGTGTATGAGTGTGTGTGCAAGTAGTTAATTAGTAAATCCCCATTCGCCGCGCCTCAGGTCGGTTTGTTTTCCCCGGTCGACAAGCCGAGAGGAAAGAGAATTTGAAGTAGGATTAGACCCGTTTCCGCTCCCGTGTCTCAAGTATGAGGTTTGTGAGCGGGCTGTGAGTGCGCTGTGCGGTGCTGGCTCCGTTTGCGACTCTGAGCGCTTTCTGTGCTTTGGCTGCCACAAGATGAGCCTTTCCGTGGGTCCAGCCAGAGCCGCTTTGCATGCTCTCTCAAAAAAAGTTCATCATTTTGACTCTACCGCCAATTCCCCCCTGACCCTTCCCCACCCAAACGAGGTCACTTTGTGGAGTTCAAGTGCAATGGGATTTTGTGTCCTGACTGCCTTAAACTAGAATTATACCTATGATTATCTTTCTTTTTCTTGGATCATATTAGAAAGATAAGTCAAGCTATCAACATTCATCCAGTTCCTGCTTCACATTACATTATAAAGCTTTTCGCCAGGTCCTAATTTTGAAAATTGTAAACTGTCTTTTATAAATCAGATTAGACAAACGTTGTGGCTTGACTCCCATGACTGTTTTTAGCTCATAAAATGCAAATTTTACAAGAATGTGATCTTGGTCTGTCATCAACCCTAAATATGACAAGCTTCAGAGGTGAGCATCCAGTTTAATCCCTCCTTCTCCTCTTCTCCTGATCCCACACCGGCTGTTTGCACTCAAGTGAATTCCATTGGTTTACTTAATTGATTATTAACTTACTGATAGAGGATCAATTGAATAATTAAAGTTTATTAAGGGTGGAGTCGATTTAGTGGCATAAGAGTTGGCCTTTGTTTTTGTTTTTCATTAACATTTTGGTTTCACTTTTGCAGATGCAGAGCCGGCCCAAAGCAGGGAGAATCTGACCACCAGCTACTACATCACCAATAATGTCTCTTAAATTTTGCCGGCCTTTTTTCATACCTGCATTTATACACTCTGTGCTTTAAACTTAGTGAGGTAACTATAACAGTTAAAGGTGCAGTTCAGTTGTTGTTTTAAATAGATTTACTAAAACGTTGCATTCAACACTGCCTGCTGAACCTCGACCAAGAAACATCCTAAAACAACTGCAATAAAAAAATTTTAAAGAAGTTTGTGAGTACACTATTATATGAACCATTACACTGCTATCATGTTTGCTTTTAATCTTTACAAGCACATTTCATCAACCTGTTTTAAGAAATGTAGAGTGCTCTTGGGTCCTCAGGCCAGCAGGGGGCCAAAGTGTGCATATGTCTAAAGTTGACCCAGTGTCGATGGTTGATGGAAATCTTGCGGTGGGTTAAGCTGTCAATGTATTACCTGCAATAGATAACGCTCACAGCTTCTTTATTTATCAGCTGGTCCTGGAAGCTGGTCCAAATAGGACTTCTACCATCTAAAAAAGCTCCGGTCAATTTCAAAGTGGTTTACGTGAACGCAGTGTTATGAATGTTTAAGATAGCCATCATTAAGCAATTTATTTACTATGTAGATAGGAGGCAGTTCACCACCAATGATCTCCCTGTGCCCCCAGGAGCAACTAATCTAGTTAAAGCCACAAAGCATATTTTTTTTGTGAAACAGGTACTGTGAAGAGAATATGAAAAGTATTTCTGGTCTCAAATTAATTTGAAGAAGTACAAAAAAATAAAAGTCTTTTAGTAGTTTGCATGAATTCTGTTTTATGGGCTTTTAGAGCTCTACCTTTATTTCAGAGGGTTACTCTGAGTTCAAAGGTTTTACTCATTTTGCTTCCTTTGGGATAAACCTTGGGAATGCTCAGCCTCTCACACAAAACTCCTAAAACCAGCACCTTATGTTTTCTGAAAGGTCAAAGGTGGCATTGTGAGGTTAAAGCAAGGAAGTCACAACTTCATGTCATCTAACTTCTGTAAAGGATAAATGGCTATAAGGCTCAAGGGTATGGTGCCATGTTTACAGACTGTCAGTGTGACCAGCTGGCATTTAATGCACAAATGTATTGTAAATGTCCAACACTGATTTTATTCATAACTCTCCATATTGAGCCTTCAAAGTTCCACTCCATGCCTCTTTTGGATGAATTTTGAAAGCTCACATGTAAGCTGGATATTACAACTTAGGTTGGTGATTTATGAACAGCAAGAGGCAGCCAAGACATGGAAATGAAACTGTTCAGTTGAAGAAGTCAATATAGCAGAAGTTTGCCTTGAGATTGGCTGTGACTATCTGTTAAATTCAGCCAACCTGTTTCAGTTTAAACAAAGTGAAGACCTTAGTGTAAATTCTTAGTTCGTAATGTGTCTGTTACGTTACATATTTTTTGTGGCTTTGTTGTGGGACTTGCCCCGGGTGTCATTCCTGTTAGAACCACCCCTGCTCAACAGTGTAGAGTAGTAATAAGATGGTATTATCAGCTTGCCCTTGAAAATGCTAGAAAATCTCAATCTTGCGAGTTTCCCTTTGGTCAATCTGAAGTTGTCCTCAGGAAAACTGCAGTTTTGCTGTGTGCTATGATACACAGCAGTTCTGAGAGGAAGAAGCATAGAGCAAAAGAAGGATCACCAGTTCTGCACGCTCATGTTCATGGTCAAAGCCAAGCACCCAACATAATCACATATTCATACAACACCTCCTGCACCTCTTTATTGCCCTCTAGTGCCGGATTCTGATTCCAGTCGTCTATCACTGCTTGTTAACCTCCTGAACTGGTGCCTCCATCTGTTCCAAACTCCACTTTTGCTCCGGTGTTCAGATTCAAGCCGCACAACGGTGAGTCCGGTCCATGTGTGCAAGTACAGCTGTGTTTTATTTCTTTTCTTGATGTGTGTCAGTCTTGGGGGCTTTGAGCATTGAATATCAGAGACTCACACACATAGCAGATGAAAGCTTTGCCAATACTTGGAGTCCCCCGAGGCTCGTGGCAATATTGATGCAAACATTGCTTTCTGTTTGTGTATTTGTGTGTTGCTGGTCTCTGTCAGTATTTATGCTTTAATTTGCAGCTGCTCATCATCCTCAGAGTCTGAAAAAGGGAAAACACGCCTCAGACAACCTGACTCAAATTTTTTTCCCCGTTTTTCAATCCTCCCCTGCTGATTTGTGCACAGCAGCTGGAGCGTCTGAGAGGTCCCCCCCCCCCACGCCCCCCACCCCACACCCGACCCACAACCCGACACCTGGGAGGTATATGTGACAAAGCAGGGAGGCGCCTGAAAGAGGATGAAAAACTGACCTATCACATCCCCATCGACTGAGTTAATTAATATAAGTAGAGGAGAGGATTCCTAGCTCACTTTTCACTCTATGGATTTGCTGTCTCCTCACATTTGCCGGGTTTTATGTCTGTTCAATGCAAACTCAATGTGTTCCGTCCTGCGGCGCGAGCGTGACAGCTCATTTTGGGACACGAGCCGTTTTGATGGGGCAGATTTTAATTGTGGCACAACAGAAGGCGGGGGCCCCCTCTTTGTGACGGACTGATATGAAATCTACCACGAGTCGATGTCACATTGAAGCACGGAAAGCTGTTAAAGGGAGCTAACTCAATGGATGATATTTGAAGCTGAGGTTCCTATATATGTACTTCCTGTTTTGCTGCCTTCTTTGGGCACAAAAAAATTAAAGGAGATACTTCTTACTCAAAATTAAAGACATAGGAGCAAGAAAGGGAATTCCTCATGGACTCTTAAGCACTTTCCACTGGTTTGAGGGCCGAAGACAAAAGACTGGAGAGCGTGTGCATCGGGGGGCAAGGCAAGGGGGGGGGGGGGACACAAGCAGGACAGACAGGAAGACAGGCAGTGGAAGGTGGGAAATGGAGAGAAAAGGAAGGGAAAGAGAGCAAGAAAGAGCTCCAGTGCCTAGTCTTAATCTGAGCTGTTCTGATCAATAGCCCATTTCCCATTGTTGCCAGAGCTGTTCGATCGCTACACCACGGAATTAACACACCCACTTTAATCTAGGGGGAGAGGGGCGAGGGGGAAGGGAGGCAAGAAGGGGAGAAGGGGGCTTAAAGGGGGCGAGTGGGGAGCAGCTGTGGAGGCATTCTCAAATGAAATCAAATCTAATTGTTATCACTGTAGCTGCTGCACTTATTACTACCACTGCTCCAATTATCCATAGACCATATAGCTCACTTTTTCCTCCTCCTCAAAGGTGAGGTGTAAACTGGACGCAAATAATCCGAATTACTGGTTATTTGTTTCATTTTGCCAAGTGCAGATTGGATTGGGGGGGTTGTTGATGGTGCGGACGTCTCCGGAACAGAAATGGGCTCTGTGGTCAGGGACGGAGTAGCAGCCTGATCCCTCAGCTCGGATGAGCGGCTGCAAAGCGTTTTCAGCAGAGTTTTATTATTATCATACATGCAGTCATTCTGTGAGAAACCTTCTCAGGATCCTAGTAATTTGAAGCATTTATTCTAGCTACACCATCCAGCAGCAGTTTAGTCTTTTTTCTTTTCTTTTTTTTTTTTTTATCAATACAGCCTGACAAAAACAAATTACAAACACTGGAAAGCAATACATCGCAAAATATAAACCTGCTTGTTTAAATATAGTTTTGGAACATTTTCTTTTTTGCTTTAGACTTGTTGATGCTCATATTTATGTCTTTATAAACTAAGATAAAATGTACGAACATGGGCATTTGAATAAGGTTGTTGTAATGTTGGTGATCAAAGTAATTTTGAAAATTTTATATTTATACTTTCACAATAAAAAGTGTCCCTGTTTATTTTATATAACCTTATAAGCAATCTTCTTTAGTAGATACTAAAATTAGGCTAGTAGTTGACCAAAAGGCTTTTTGACTACAAAGAATAAATAAAGATAACACTTTTACTGTGTTGGACTAGTGCAGGGTGTATCTCACATGCATGTTTGAGAAATTCTTGAATCTCCAGTGGTGGCCATTCAGGGGTGCCTTAACGC